GAGAGAAGATGGGAGAAATAAATCTCAAATTCACCTTCCCCATAGCAGGAAAGGAGGAATATTTATGGGAAAGTGGTCAGGGGTGGTGTGTGGTGTGGGAGATTGTGATTGATTAAAGGGTTTGAGGAAGTTCTTTAGTGATCTGTGCAGGTGCAAGCCATTTGCATGTCTCTGCATGCATTGCATGTTCAAAAATGCTGCCCTTACTAAGTTGCCAGGTGTTTCCATATGCAGACTACCTTACTCCTCTCTGGCTTTCTCTAAAACCATTCTGCATTTTTCACAAGTGAGGAGGGAATTCAACAAATTTTGAACATCCACCAAAGTTAGATTGTGTATAGTAATAATTGAGGGAAAGACATTTTTCATTTTTCTAGGGTCATAGCTATACTTGGGCATGTTGTTTCTCCAATTACATGCATCTGAAGTTGAAAAAGGGGGACGGACCCAAATCAATAGATATCCTTGATCATCTGTTCGTCTGCTGGGCACTTGTCTCAAGGCTCATTACCCTGCCTGGATTTGGGTGACTTCCTGGCCAATTTGAGTATGCTGTTGGGCGTGTGAGGTGGACATTATTCCTGCTCCATCCAATTCTGACAAGATCTGGAGGCCTGAAGTGGCTGACTGCAGCCCCACCATGGAGCCACAGTGGCTTCTCCATAAAAGGGAGGAGTGGGGGTGGGGAAAAGTGTATTCAGTTGGGCTAGTAATGAGTCATCTCTCCTTCTTGTGATTCAGGCAGGACTGGTTTCCTAGGCTGCCCTTACTGCTGAACCGTGATTATACACATTTTTTGCTCAAGCTTATTTTGATACAATGACATAAAGGCTTGCACGTAAAGAATTTCATCCCACTTTAGTTCCCCTTTCCAAAACAAATCCAATTGCAGAATAGTATTATAATTAAAAAACATTTTATGGCCATTTCTTCTTTGACCCTAGGGAGTACTGGGGTCAGGCAGTATTACAAAGAAAAAACAAAACAAAACAAAGCAAAAAACCCCATACCATTTCCTTTTACCTTCACAGGCTCATAGCTAAAAGTTGCCCAATTTTGGACTATGCAACCTAAGGGGCTGCATGAGTGAACTGAACTGTATTTCCCGTTTTACCCCAGGGGTTTTAAATGTACAACCAGTTTATTCAAAAGATGTTAGACACTTTACTTACAACAATAACAAGTTAAACACAATTCAAGATTTTTAAAAAAACACTAACTAGACATTCAGGTGACAGAACTCACTACCATGTTCCAGACCTTGAATCTGATCCCCTCAGTTAGGGTGCTATGACAAAGCTAAAACTTACCCTTGCCTGCACCAGACAGCTTTTATTCACACAAGGTGGGAAGGATTGACCTCTGGTCAGTAGTCAGGTGAGTGGTTGCTCAGTCCCATGGAAGTGAAATGTACAGCTGCCCTGACTGAGTTAGGCCTCCCTGGCTGTCACCAGCAACTTCTTCAGGGTTTTCTGGGAAGGTAATGGACATAAACATAGACCTCACAAACAGGACAAACACCAAAAAATATACACAGATCCAAACCAGTAACCAAGGCTCCTTTTCGAGAGTCACAAAGATCTCCCTTCAGAGGCTGAAACCAAAGGGAAAGAAAAATAAGAGTCTTGTCACTTGTGTGAAGTGACTCATTGAGAGATGTCTTAAAAACCAAAAACCATTTTCTCCACTGCAGAGTTGAAACTGTGCACTGAAGTTTGCTGGCATCTAAGAGAAATCCCAGAAACTAGTCTCTGGAGAAAATTGTCCAGGCAGCTGCTCAGACATATCTAAGGGCTACAAATCCCAGCAAAGGGACAGCAAACCATAGGCAAGAGTCTAGGAAGGACTGCTGTCCTGTCTGGGGTGCCAATTTGTGACTGAATTGCATCCCTTGCCTGATGAACAGCAAGCCAAACACTGACACTGGTCTTTGCAGCACAGAAAAAGGTTTATTCACAGGTGGCCAAGAGAAGATGAGAGAAATAAATTTCAAATCTGCCTTCTCCACAGCATGAAAGAAAGAATATTTATGAGAAGGTGGTTAGTGGTGGTGTGAGGTGTGGGGATCATGATTGGTTAAAGGGTTTGAGAAAATTCTTCACTGATCTGCACTGGTGCAAGTCATGTGCCTGCCTCTGCATGGGTTGCATGTTCAAAAGTGGTGCTGGTAGCATGATCTGGAGGTGGAGTTTGTGCCCTCTGATATCAAAAGGTCATCCATTGGACATTTGCACTGGCTCAGTAGAGAGGTCTGTGGGCTCAACCAGTTTAACCCAAATTTGTGCTGGGCCAAGCTAGTTCCAACAGTCCTGCAAAACACAGTAGGCAAATAACGCGTGGCTTCTGCACCAGAGGTGTTATCATAAAAGACAGAAAGGAAGAAACACAGCAAGAGGTTTGTTATGGAAATTTACTGAAAGAGTGAGCAATTTAAATGGAATAAATTTTAACTGAAAAGTCACCAGTTTCACTATGTGCACTAAAAATTGTTC